GACATACTGAAAAATAACTGCTAAGTGTTCAAGAATTTATCTGTTTAACACAATGTGTAGGAGCTTTAAATGAGAGACTGAAGCAAACAGTTGATGAAAATAAGTCTTACGCTGCAAAAGACATTCAGGACAAAATACATCAAATAATAAATATATTGAGACATTAAAAAAAAACAAAACATATTTCCAGATTTAGATTAGAAGGCTTTGGGTGAATGTGATTCACTACACAGATACATTTATTGCCAGTTCCTCCAAACGGAAACTTTTCTGATATGTCAGTGATAGCTCTACTTTATACAAGAGAAGCCCTCTTATTTGAAATTGGTGGGTCACATGAAAAGTTGATTAAAGAAAGAAATTGTAAAGATGAATCATATGCACTACAACATTATTATTTGAACTTAAAACATAACATGCCCATTCATTTCCCAACTTCTGATATAAAGCTAAGGACTTGTCTTTGTTTTTCTGAGTCTTTAAAATGGGGTCAAAATTTAAAGCCACTTGCAAAGCACTTAATACAGACAACTTTTAGATTTTTATAATATTTATTTTTAGTATTTGACAGTTGTTTTGAAACGGTATTCAACAGTAAGTTTCTAGTGATTCACCTTCATTTAGCTTTTACAAAGCACTCAGCTTTTCATAGAAATCCATTTTCTCTTTGTATTCATATTTCATTGGTTTGCATTATGATTAATAACTTCTAGTATGATTAATAATGAGCACAGCTAACATACACATGCAGATTTGGTTTGGTTTCCTTTGTTGCCTCCTACGTCCTGCGAGCCTGGAATAATGCCTGGCACATACTGGGCATTCAATAAATATTTATTAAATGAGTAAATGAATGGTACAAAACTCACTCTTCCTAAGTATGTAACAGAACAGGTGGGGGCAGAAGTGCCAGAGGTACGCTAGCGGGGAGCCTGCCAGCCTAGTGCATTCGCATGCTGTGGGCATCAGTCACCATGTTTTACAAACAGAATGGAGAATCAGTTATTGCAGCCAGTCTGTTAGATGATGGCTAGTAAGAGGGCTTCTACTGTACTTTGATTAAACATCTAGTGTAGCAAAAATTCTTCCTCCTGTCTGTGCAAAACTGAGGGCTCCATTTAACTTTCCTCTAGGAGTAGATTCCCTTCCTCCATGGTAACCCGTAACTAATTTAACTCCCTATTGTCCAGAGAAGGTTTGGGAAACATCTGAAGCTGTTTCTGTGGGGGCCAAGCTCCTGAAGAGTGATTAGTAACGTGTCTTCTCTGCAGTGTTCCTTAGCACATTTGGAATCAATTAAATATTCAAATATAGGTTCTCTTAGATCTCTGGCCAGGCGCCGCAGGTTTGTGAGAGAGGAAGCTGGAGGCAGATAACTGCTATTCCTCACACCAGAATCTATAGCTGGAGAGAGATTTGAAGAATACACTCTTTACACTTCCTGGGTCGCAAGCAAATAGTCACAGGAGATTAGAAATGATTAGGAGAAACAATAGGAGACTTATTAATAGGAGTAACAGTGTACATGAGAACTGTGCCTTACAAGGTGTCTTAAAGACAAATGAGTGAGGACTCCCGTGGTGGTCCAGTGGTTAAGACTCTACCTTCCAATGCAGCGGGTGTGGGTTCGATCTCTGATTGGGGAACTAAGATCCCACATGCCTCGTGACCAAAAAACCAAAACATAAAACAAGCAATATTATAACAAATTCAATAAAGACTTTAAAAATGGCCCACATCAAAAGACAAATTAGTGAATACATTGGGGTGTTGCATAAGTAAATAGTATGGCCTTTGTGATCCAAGAATTTTTCATATTTTTAACAGATTGTTAAAAAAGAATATGTAACAGAAAAAGAATATGTGCATATGGCTTAATAACCTTAAGTATTTACAATGTAGCCTTTTTAAAAAAAGGCTGCTGACTCTTGGTTTAGAGGTTTTTTCACCATTATGTGTACTCACCTAATTACTATTACTAATAATAGTATAATGATAAGGTATATAGGGAAGAGGAAATGAACATGTGGCAGGTATTTTGTTAAACTCTTTACTCTGTCGGCCTCTTCACTGAACAATCCATTAAAGTTAGCATTCATGTCTCAATGATAGAGCCAAGAAAACAGAAGCTCAGAGAGGTTAAGTAACTTGCCAAGGTCACAGACAGAATTAAGCAGTAGAGTTGTTCATCAAACCCAATGTGGTGATATATTTAAGCAGTGAGATCACTTTCCCAATTAAATGCTACTTAGAACCCCACTATATAAAATAGTTACTCTGAGTGAAGTTCAGGCAGAGGACCCAGAAATCTCACTCATTTTCAGAAAAACCTGCTTGAAATAGAAGTCAGTATTTCAAAAGATTGTCAGTAACCAACATGAAAATGGGTTTCCAACTCAATTGTTCCATTATCTGGCACATTACATGCTTCTTTCTTAACAATATTTTGCCAAAGGCGAGAGTATCAAAGTGACAGAATTGCCTTTTTCTTATTTCCTTGCCCAGTGAAATAGAAGTCAGCAGAAAGGGGAAAGGAGAGAGAAGCAAAGGGTTTAAATAATCTTCAAAATCTAACTAGTTATACTACAGCGACTCCACCAAACACTGAGTGGGAAGGACATCTTCCAAATGGCAGCTCATTTTACCTTAATAGGTAGTGTTTCCAGATGAGTTTCTAGTTTCTAGTTTTCCATCATGATAAATTAATATATACTATTTTATTATGGTGCCACAAACAAGAACTCTGAAAGGCTCAACTCTCACAAAAGGCCCAAATCCCCTGAAAAGCATCAGGTATCAAAATGCAGCCAGAAAAGATGGTATTAAATGAAAAAAAAAAAAAAAAAAAAGGCTCCTTTTTAATGAAGTCGAGGTGTAGGACAGATTTATTAGCTTCCATTTTTCCAGGTTGCATTCTGATGTATTTCCTGCCCATATTTCTAAATTCAGCAGGTCTCTTTGTAGGATTATTTTTTTAAAATGTTTCAAAGAATATGATGCAGCTATAATGACTACACCTGCAAAGACACACCTGTGATGATACAAACACTAAGTGTTTCTCATATTCACAACCCAATGCTCTAATAGAAAACAGACCTTCTATACCATTTGCCAAGATCCTGCCATTCTTAGAAAGAACTGATACTGGTAACCAGATATTATAGTCTTAAAAATAATAACCAATCAAGGACTACTCCTGACCAAAATGGCCATTAAATTCTGTGTAGTTGTTTATCCTTTACAGTCATAATTCTTTTTGTCAATATTATGAGATGGTTAAAACAAATAGTTAAAATTACTATTGATGCCTACAATATTCCTACTTACTCAATTATTTTTATGTATACCACCATTGACTTATTATTTACTCACACACTAGTATTTACTGTGTCAGGTACTATACCTGACTCTTGAGGAAGGAAAACTAGTAAGAATATAATCTTTCCTTGGATAATTCCTATTGCAATTGTCTAGCTAGAGTTGTGAACAAATAATTAGTGCACTAAATTCCTAGTAAATCTGCCAAGATCAATGAAAAAAAAGTAGACTGAGAATTGGATCCTCCTACAGATATTAAGGAAAGGAACACACTTGAAGGGAATGTTAAAGGTTAAGTAATATTCCCAGTAAAAAAGAGAAGGATATTCCAGATTGAAAGAACAATATAAGGAAAGGCCCAGAGGCAAGTGGGTGATTTGTCCATATTGAGGACTGGGTTATACAATGAAAGGAGTAGAGATATACTGTCTAAGACGTTAGTAACTAGGCCTATTTAAATTTAAATTGACCTTAAGTAATATTAGAAAATCAGTTCTCAGTCACATTTCAAGTACTCAATAAACACATGTATCTAGAGTCTACCATATTGGACAGTGCAGACAGAATTATTTCCATCATTGCAGAAAGTTCTACTGGACAGCACTGAGTTTAAGAGTACAAGGTAAGCATGTGGCCAGTTCATGGGGAGTCTCAAAAATATACTAAAATGTTTAAATGGAAATGGTTTATAAACTACTGAATTGCACAAAGTCCCTTCAGAAATAGCCTTGGAAGACTCCATCCTCACAGCATTGCTATGATCTATTATACCCATCCAGCTTCTACATTTGAATAAGACTCCTCTTGAAGAAAAACATTCTGCAGCTTAAAAAAGAAAGAAAAAAGGCTGGAAATCCAGTTATGGGCAACTGGAAACCACCACAAGTTTTTAAGCAGGGACATGACACTGTGACACAGATTTGGATTTTAGAAATATTACTTCTTAAAGCAGTGTGCAAGATATGTGGGAAGAAAAGGCACTGGGCATACCAAGATCAGTAGAGGCTAATGAGATGATAAAGGACTAATTTCAGAGAAACTTCTAAAGGAATACACAAATAAGAATTTACATCAGTAAATTTATTCCAAGTAAGAATTGTGCATTCACACCATGCATATTATTTCCCCACAAAAGCCAGTATTGTCATTAAAACACTTAACACTTTAAACATACCATAAAACTCAAAGATATTTGAAAAACTTCTCAAAGTATCTATTTCAAGTCCCTGAATTCTTTAATATTTGTAAACCATGCTTGTTCAATTATAATTTTAAAATATATTATAACCATATCACTCATTATAATCATTGATATGCTTATTATATATATTTAAAACATCTTTTCTGAAATTTTATGTTCTCCAAAAAATAACTTTTTAGTAACTTCAAAATAACTCTATGTACCTCTTAGCAGTACTATGGTAAAACCAAAATTGCATTTTCAAGTAGCAAGTACCCAAGCCACAGCATTCCTGATCAAAGATAGAGCTGACATCCAGGGAATTCCCTAGCGGTCCAGTGGTTAGGACTCCATGCTTCCACTGCTGGGAGCCCGGGTTAGATCCCTGGTTGGGGAACTAAGATCCCGCAAGCCACGTGGAGTAGCCAAAATTAAAAAAAAAACCAAAAAACGACAGAGCTGACATCCAGTCCTACAAACAGCTCTCTTCCGCTCCTTGTTCCTATTTTAATATGCCAACCATTACTTCACTGACATCCCAGAGTTTTCCTGCAACAGATTCATCCATAGCTTTGGGCAATAGTTCTTCCTCTTTACAGTCCCCAAAGTACTTTCCTGACACACCTTCTACCTCAGGGGAAGAGGCTAAATAAATCGAAGTCTGGGCACCTTCTAGCGGAGTTTTGAAAAAAGCCCATGACACCAAATTGAAAAGTGGTTTGACTAACAGTGGGATGTGTATGTGCCTCCCAAGGTTGGTCCGCACCATGCCAGGGTGTAACACATTGACAGTGACATTTGTGCCTTCTAAGCGGTGGGCTAGTTCTCTGGTAAAAAGGATGTTAGCCAGTTTGCTCCGACTATAACAGAAGCTTTTATTATAGTTTTGTTCACTGTTCAAGTCTTCAAAGTTGATGTCTCCATATTTATAAAGTTTGGAGGTAACTACCACAATCCTGCTGGGAGCTGAACTTTTAAGGAGTCCAAGGAGAAGATTGGTGAGTAGAAAGTGCCCCAGATGGTTCACTCCAAACTGCATCTCAAACCCATCTTCAGTCTTCATATACGGGCACTGGAAGACGCCTGCATTATTGATCAAAACATCCAGTCTAGGCTCTTCCTTCAAATGGCAAAAAGAGAATGGCAGAGTTATGAACACAGGCCTTAAATGTGCCTAAAATAAAATTTTAAACAATTCCTGCAAACTACTAAAATTCTAAAAAACGCCTCTGAGTTTTCAACAATTGAGAGAAAAGAAGTCGACGACAACAATGACTTGTGTGCCTGACCTGGTGCTTTTCATGTTATCTCAACTACTCTCAACAACTCTATAAGCAAACTGAGGCACCAGAGTTAGGTGATTTGTCCAGAATCACAGGGCTCCTAAGTGGCAAACAGAAACCGGAAGTTGAAATCTGACACCAATGGCCCTATTCTTAATTAGTAAGCTAGACCGCTTTTCTAATTGGGATTTTCAAACCATAGCTAGACCGTCAATGTGAGCTAGAGAGTGGAACTACAGCACAAGACAGGTCAGCATTGTTTATTCCCAGAGCTACTAGTATGAACACCAGGGGCAAGTTAGGATTGTTTTATTCTGTAATTTTCTAATAATAAATGCCACCATGGGAATGGAGCAACTCCAGGTTGTTTCCTTAAAAATGGGACAAGCAATAGAGAGGGTGAGGGATGCAAATTAAGACTGGAGAGAACATCATGAATAAGTCAACGAAACATTAAGAGAAATATTAAACAGGTAGTATAAACATATCAGAAACAAAACCATGAATCATACATACTAAGTCTCACAATAACAGCAAAGGAGACTTAACAGAGGAGGTCTGCCCAACAAACACCTTTAACCTCTGTTACGACTCTAGAATTCACAGTTCTTTTTTCCCGATATGAAATCTACCTCTTTCAAGCTTCGAGGAGCCCCCAACTTAAGAGATCTATACAGTCAGAATTTCGCACTCTGACCATATCCTCCTGCATCTTCCCAGATTAAAGTCCTAAAATTTAGACTGTCCTCAAAGGGAAGTCTTTTCATTCTTTACTTCATGTAAGTTGGTTTTCCCTTGTCCCTTCCTGGCTCTGTCTCTTTTCATGGGCAGAGAAAAAGAAATGTACAACGTGTTCCAGGTGTAAAGACACAGTGATGACCCACAATTAAATAAATTTGAGGTCAAATTTCAAATATCACTGGCCCTTTTGCCAAATGTAAGTGAAAAGAATGTGTTAAATTTCACAACTGTTATCAAAGCCTACCTGTCAGTGGATTAACTATTTCTCATTCTGTCTGTCTCAGCACCTTTTGCTTTTCCAATAGTCAACTTCAAAAAGAAGGCAAGAGTTCACCCGTGGGGGAAAGAAAGGAGTGTTCTTTTCAGTAATCCTTTGGAAGAGTTTCCTGTGTTAATCATTTCTGAGCCATCATTCTTTGCTGGGCTTGTGTTATTTTAAGACTGTATCAGTTACTGTTTTTTAAATTCTAGAAGATAAATGACATAAATACCAAGAATACCAACCTGTGGGAAATTTACACTTCCTTTTTGTTTTTTAAATTCTGGTTATAGTCACTGAACTACTGAACTTCAGAGCCAGGAAGGAACTTAATACATACTTAGAAGCAAGGACAACTTAGTTATCTCTTTATCTCCTTAACTTTTAATTGGTTCTGTCAAGTGGCCAAAGTAGTGAGAAACCATAGGTATCAAGGAATAAGTATACCCAGTCCCATCTACATTTTTAATGAATAGGAAGATCCACTTTTGATTCTCCCAACATCTCTTGTACACTATTACTTCTAATTTCTAAACCTGATAATGAAATACTGGTCATAATGGCAAAACAAACCAAAACTCTCTGGATCTGTAACAGCTCCCCAACTGTGCATCAAGTTGCCCTACAGAGTCACAAGGAAACTCTCAGGGTGGAGTATTTTAAATTTTCAAGGGAAACAAAATGATACTCTGCTCAACATCTCAAAAACTACCAAGCTCCAAGTGGCTCACACCTTCAACATTTTATTGTGCTATATTCCTTTTCATGATGTCCTACCTTTGCAAAGCTGAGTGTTTAGTAGTTGCTGCAATAAAATGCAAGTACAATGTTAAAAGTCAACATAGAACAGAAATGAGGGTGGCAATGTTCAGTCTAATTCCAAAGTTTGACAAGCTGGTACAGTGAACAACAGATGCACATTTCCCATTATGGTTATAATAATTATGGTTATTGAAAAATGAAATAAAAATGTTTTTTTCTTTCATCTATGCTATGTGTATTTTTGTTTCAAACAGCTACTAAGTTGTTACATAAATACTTATTAAGTTGTTTGGATCTAATTGCTTAACGAATAAGCTGTCAGATATTTGTTTGGCCTAAGGGCATCATGAAAAAAATTAGAAAGTTTGGGAACTTCTGCTCTAGACTCAGGAGACTCCTTTTCATATAGGCGCCTTTTCTATGCCAGCTAATTTTAAATATCACTCTTCTGAATGCCCTCTTGCAAGTCACCTCTGCAGGGAACCCTTCTACCTCACTTTCAGCAGAGGACATCCATTTCGGTGTAATATCTACTATCTAAACAAAGAAACCCTCTACCTCACTGGCAGGCTAGCAGAAGTACTGTATAGGGGTTAAAAGCAAGGGCTCCAGAGACAGATCGTGGGCAAATTACTTAGCCTACCTATGCCTTAGTGGCCTTACGTTGTAAAATGGGGATAACAATGCCTACCTCACAGGGTTACTGTGAAGACTGGATGACAAGAGCAGTCAAAGTCACTTTAATTTCATTAAAAGTTTAAAAAAATATCTGAAATGCTTGGAACAGCTCCTGGCACACAGGAAACTTTCAATAAGTGCTAGGTATTATATTATTTTTATTTCTGTCCCCATTTAGAGCACATGACCGCTGGCATTCCAAGCTCCAGTCTATTTGGAAGTTAGGCTAGAGTATGGTTAAGAATACTGCTCATGAGTTCACTGGTGGTAGAAAGCTAAACTTCCTACCCTAGCGGGTCGGGGGGAAATTGCTCCAAGGTCCTTGTCTAGCAACGTCCCCTATGTGCTCTCAGGCTCTTTGAGAGATGGCTTGGTGCACGTTCACTTTGGACACAGGAAGAACAATCCAGGGACCTGGCGGATCTCCTCCTGAGCTGTCCTCACACGGCAAGAGGAAATGTTCAGAAACTCGCTTATTTTCCTCTTGGGCCCATTTTCTTTCTCAACATTCTTGGAAGACAGAAGACTGTCCCACCAATTTTTCCAGCCTTCAATTCCCAAGCCGCCCGAATCATTCCCAAGTTCACTCCCCCTCGACTGTGGGCGGTACCCTCCCCGGCTCAGCCCCCGGCCCTCCAGGCCCCGCCTCGCCCGCCGAAGCCCCAATCCAGTCCCCGATCCCCGGCAGGTTCCCAGAACGCCACACCTGGAGCACCTCCTGACAGAAGGAGCGCACGGAGCGCAGCGAGGCGAGGTCCAACTCCTTGACGACGAGCTCGCCGGCCCCGCTGGAGTCAGGCCCCAGTTCGGGGCCCCCAGCCTGGCAGATCTCGCGGCGGAGCTGAA